AGGGATCATCCGTTTATGGAAAGGGAAGGAAAGCCTGAAGACACTTGGTTACTTGGTTTCCCGGGAGGAAGGTATTCTCAATGAGCTCTTTCTGAAATGCAGTCTGTTTCCATCAAAAACCACAGAGTTGGGCGCCTGGGTGGCTCAGTTGGTTAAGCGACTGCCTTCGGCTCAGGTCATGATCCTGGAGTCCCGGGATCGAGTCCCGCATCGGGCTCCCTGCTCGGCGGGGAGTCTGCTTTTCCCTCGGACCCTCCCCCCTCTCATGTGCTCTCTCTCTCTCTCTCTCTCTCATTCTCTCTGTCTCAAATAAATAAATAAAATCTTAAAAAAAAAAAAAACAAACCACAGAGTCATAGCCCTTCCCACTGAGCAGAGTATGTCTGGTGAGGGTAGGTGGTCAGAATGGAGAGATGAGGGATTGGTGTTGGGTGTTAGAGCTGAGGTGGTCATTGACCAGAGATGATGCTGTGTGCCCAGTGGGATCGTTATGAGAACTTCCTGTGAGGGACAGATGTGGGTGGTGACTGCTCACATAAACTAGCGGAGTTACCTCTTGCCAGGTGCTAGTCTAAGTGATTTATGTGTATGAACTTGTCTAATGTTAACAGCCTTGTGAGGTCAAGGTACTGTAATCATTCCATTTTGTGAGTGAGCAAAATGAGCCACAGAGGGGGGATCAGGAATTTTCTAATAGCTGAGGGAGGTGGGAGAGGAGTCCAGGCAGCCTGGCCCTAGAGCGCACATTCCTAGCCACTACCCTCTGTCAGATGGCCAGAGAGCGTGTCTGTTATGAGAGCCCGGAGGGAAATGATCCCTAAAAACCTCCCTGCTGGTCCTGGGGACCTTGAGGTTCAGTTTTCTTTAGTTTTAAAATAAATGATACTTCCGTCAATGATAAGATGGACACGTTTCATTTCCGAAGTTCCAAATTTAAAGCTCTTTGGAACATGCAGGTTTTCAAATATTAAATGTGTGTGTGTGAAAGTTTCACTGCTTTAAAAGTCCCTCCTCTCCAACAAATACATATTATCTGTTTTGAATGATTGTCTCCCATGTTTTTTCCCCTCCTCTCTGAGCAAGACAGACTCAGGCTTATAACACAATGGAATTGAATGTCCCTTTTTTTTTTTAAATTTTTTATTGTTATGTTAATCACCATATATTACATCATTAGTTTTTGGTGCAGTGTTCCATGATTCATTGTGAATGTCCCTTTGATTTAGAATGTGGCGATGGGAGACTGGCTATGCAAACCTGCATGGAGCCAGGGTATAAACAGTTTTAAAGAATCCTAGCCACTAAAATAAGCAGAGGCTATGGAGTGGCTGCCTGGCTCTGGCTGACAAAGCTCTCCTGAGTGGCATTTGCCACCATCTCCCTGGGAGTGGGCATTAGAGAGTTTAAGAGAGGAGTTGGCCTGATGAGCTCTGTGTTTGCGGCCCCTTTTAGAAACTTTACAGCATTTCAGCTGCTCCATTTTGGGTGGGCACAGAGCCCTTAGGGGAAATAGGACAGAGAAGCAGACAGTGTTCTGGACTGTGTGGAGGATGGAGACCAGAAGGAAGGGATGGAAGGGAGCAGAATGAAAGGAGAAAGCAATGATTTTAGATGTACTTTGCATCAGGTTTTCCAGCATCAGGGGAACCATACCTCCAGTAGTATGTAGAATTTATGTTTTGGGAAGGGGGTGAAAGTAGGTCTTCTGGAGTGTTATCTGGAGTGATTCCTTCTTGAAGGGGAGGAAACATAGATGATTGAAAGACTCTTGTTCTGTCTCTCATACACACACACACACACACACACACACACACATACATATACATATAGTCTCTCTCATATTATGTATATATACTGTCCTTTTGTTTGCTAATTATAGGGCAGTTGGATAGAGTTCATCCACTCTCTTAATCTTCAGGTATGGTTAAGTAATAGAGTCATGTCCTGGGTAGCATGAGAGTATTTTTGTCCCTGCCAGTGAAGGAGGCCAAAGATGGCATTTGAACTTCGGCTCGTCAGTTTAAATTAATGAAATTTATTGGGAGCCTATTATGTGCCACGTACATCACTGGACATGAGACATGGCATCTAAAGGCTAATTGTTAAAACAGTTTATGTTGGTCTGGATATACTTCCACTCGTCTGTATTTCTCATTGTAAGACAAAGATTATCAGTGAAACTTATATTAACGATTATCGTTTAAAACTATTCAAATGTTACCCATTCTTTCTGAGAATGTAGGGCACATCAGGATCTTTGGTGGGTATATTTGTTTCCTGTTTGCTGTTGTAACAAATTACCACAAATTTAGTGGCTTAAAACAACACAAATCTATTATCTTGCAGTTCTGTAGGTTAGAAGTCCAACATGAGTCTCCCGGGGCTGAAATCAAGGTGTCAGCAGAGCAGTGTTTCTTGTGGAGGCCGTAGGGGAGATTCTGTTACCTGGGTTTTCAGCTTCTGGAGACCCTTACATTCCTTGGTGTGTTGTCCCTTCCTTCATCTTCGGAGCCAGTGATCGAAGATTGGGTCCTTCTCACGATGCCATCTCTCTTTTCCCCACTTCTATAGTCATATTTTCCTCTTCTATTTAAGAACCTTTGCAGTTACATTAGGCCCACCTGGACAATCCAGGATAATCCCCTTGTTTTAGGATTTGCTGACCAGCACCCTTACTTCCATTTGTTCTATAACATGATGTATCCACAGGTTCCAGGAAGTAGGACATTTGACATCTTTGGGGAGCCATAATTCTACCTTCCACAGTAGGGGGGAGCTTTTCCAAATTTTGCTGAAATTATACAATGCGCCCCTCCAATCCTTTGCATAATGAATTGTAACATGTGAATGTGTCCTGTGTATGTGAGTGATGGGAGGCTTAACATTCATTGCCTTAAAGCCTCACACCTCTTCATTGTGATAAAACCCCAGCCACCTAAACATTTAATGATTAATTAGTTTTATAGACTCTCAGTGTTGGAAAGAAGCTAGAGGTCCGCTTGGCCAGTCTATCTTGCAGGGACTTGCAGATGAACTGTTTGTCTCTTCCACATGGCTGTCCCACCTTGCTGACATGGGTGGCCTGCTTTGGCAGATAATGTTTTCTTTGAACAGCTCCATTTTTCTGTCAGGAAGTTCTTGCTTTATATTGAGGGGAAGTCTGTCTTTTTGCAATTGTGTAGAACCTATTGGTTCTTTCTTGTTTTACTCTCTGGGGTCATATTGAATAAATCTAATTTCCTCTTTCACACTTGAAGCCCTTGAGATTTTTTTAAAGACAGCTATCATATCCCCCAAGTATTCAGACTAAAAATTCTCAATATCTTCAACTGCGTCTCACTTGAAACTGTTTTGAGACTTTTTCCCATCCTGGTCACTCTCTTGAGTATGATACAGCATGTAGAAGTAGGGACTGAGGATGATTTAATAGGAGCCTTTAAATGCCGGGGGAATTGTCATACAGAGGAGGCTGGTAAGATCTTTGCCATCACCACGGAAACAAGAGATCACAGGCTTATATTGTGGCTAAAGAGATTTAGGTGTCAGGAAACCTGTCTTAACCTCATGGATTGAGATAGTGCAAAGGACTGCCATGGGCAGTTGAGGGATCTTTTGCCCTAGAAATGTATAAGGCAAGCCTTTAACCTCCCAACTCATTTATTTTGTATAAGAGATTTTGCTTTTAGTTAAATGTTCTGCTTAAAGCATTCTTGTCATTGCTTGTCATCTATGCCTGATGCCCGGATTTCCCTCTTGTGTTGGTTCATTGGATGTAAGGCATCATCATGACTGCTGTTAATCACAGGGGGAAGGAATATGGTTCAGGGCTTTATGAAGGAAGGGAAACAGTGGCATAGCTCAGGATAATTAATAGCAAGTGGAGTGACAGTTTGATTCCCTGGTAGGGACGCTGGCATTGTTGAAGGAAAAAATCACTTTATTCTTTCATAGAGAGAGGCAGCTGTAATTCTGGTTGGATGGAATCCAATTAAAAGGAACTGACATGCAAATTGATGATCAGACAGTGTGAGCATAGAAAAAGTCCAAGAAGAGTTCTGTAAGGAGTGGCAGTGAACAGTGTAAGTGATTTGACATGGTAATGTGTGTAAGAAAAATGGAAACATATGGGTTGGCTACCTGAGCAATTGTTAAGTCTGGAATCTCAGCCAGGAGAGAGCAGGAGATTGGTTTGTTTGGTGGGTTTATAGTTACTAAAATTTTAGACATTTGTTTAGTTGAGGCATATACATTTTGGGAATTACAGTCTTTCACAACAGAATGATTATAAATCAAATAGGTTTCCAAATTGATGGTGGCTGAATATAATATTCCCAAGAATGTAGGATGGGAATCCAAGCCTCGCTCTTGCAAAGAAGATCTCATGGTACAGATACACGTCCCCTGACCTCATGATGTGTCCTTAAAGATTTGTGTGAGAATTTACTCCTAAATTTAGGCTGAAATAAGAGAGCTTGCCATTTATAGTAATGCTATTATGAATCATTTTCTAAAGTGAAAAATCCTTTTATAACCAAAGTCATGCCCAGTTTATCTTTTGAGTAAATTCATAAGTCCTTGTATTAGGTTTGCAACTAAACAAAGGTATTTTTCTTTGAAATGAAATAATTATAGGGACATATAGCAGGTAAGCTTTAGAGTAACAGGAAAAAAATGGGCATAATTTTGTAAGAGGTCAGTATATTGCTTTTTAGGGAAGAAAATTGTGCTTAAGAAGTCAGATAGCTTCTGCTGCTATTACAGGAGGAGAAGGCTGCCCAGCATATTGCAGGGAGATTTATTAGGATCTTTTGGGAACTGCAACAGAAATGTCTATGAAGTGTTTTGAAGAAGGAGGAAATAGGAACACAGCATTTGCTAGACTTTACTCAGAGGAAAGCTGAAGAAGGTGAAGTGGAGTTCACCCCGAGAGAGCTGTGGAAGACTGAGAAGCTCAGAGAAGACTTACAGGGACAGCAGTAGCGACAAGAAGCTCAGGGTACTGTGGGCTGTGCTTTCATTCAGCACGACAGCACCCAGTTATCATGCTGGTTGGCAGCAAGGAATGTTGCCAAAGCTGATGCAGAATGACCAGGGTTAGTTTTTGTTGGTCCCGGGGCAAGTAGTGGGCTGCATGTCCTACAGACCCTATGATGTTTTGCCTCCTGCTGCCACTGGGTTCAGGTACCCCAGCAGCCATGCACTCTGCCCAAGGCTCTCACCGTTATTTTGCGCTCTGCCAGGAATGCTCTTAACCTGAGGGCTCCCTCTCTCATTTGGTAGGAGTTTCTGCTGGAAATCTTTCCTGAAGATCTAGAGCAAGCACTCTCTCTTCCCTTATGCTGCTTTATTTTTCTTCATAGCAGTCATTTCCCCCCAAGCATGTGTTTATTTGTTAAATGTTTTTCCCTTTTCTCTCCATCAAAAGTGAGTTCCATGAGAGTTGAGGCCCAGTGTGCTTCTCAACACCATATTCCGAGCACCTAATCCGTAACAATTTGTGGAGGCAATTTTTAGGGAGTCCCTGTGCCTATCACTGTGATAAGAGCTGAGGATGAGAAGAGGAATGTAGGACTCTCTTGCCATCCTGTGTTACATAATATATAATTATAATAGTTCTAATAGAGTGCTGCGAGCTTTGAGAAATAAGCTGGGGATAGTCACCATAAAACTAGATCTAGAGTGATCCACAGGAGGTTTGGTGGTCAAGACAAGGAAGGACATTGTAGGCTGACAAAAGAGGTTGAATGGAGTTGGAGAGATTTAGAAATGAATTTTATCTTTGGAAGTCCTTGAGTGAGTTCAGTGTGGCTGCTGGAGCACCACAGCATGTGGTGAAGCATGGCAGAGACGACTGGTTGTATGTTTGGGAAGAACATTCCTAACATATGTAGGTTGATATCTAATCGGGGAATTTTTAAAAAATTTTTTAATTTATTTATTTTAGAGAAGGGGGGAGTGAGTGAGCATGGGGGCAGGGGGAGGGGCAGAGGGAGAGGGAAAGAAAGTCCTAAGCAGATTCCATGCTGAGTGCAGAGCCTGATGCTGGGCTTGATCTCACCACCCTGAGATCATGACCTGAGCCAAAACCAAGAGTCAGAGGCTTAACCATCTGCACCACCCAGGCGCCCCTAACTGGGAAAGTTTTTGAAAGGAGTTTGGACCTTATTTTTTGGGAAGTGGTGAGCCCTAAACGTTTTTTTTTTTTCTTTTTCAAGTTATTTAAATTCAGTTGGTTAACAGAGTTTATTTATTTTTAAAAGATTTTATTTATTGTCAGAAAGAGAGAGCACAAGCAGGGGGAGTGGCAGGCAGAGGGAGAAGCAGGCTCCCCGCTGAACCTGATGCGGGACTCCATCCCAGGACCCTGAGATCGTGATCTGAGCTGAAGACAGATGCTTAATCGACTGAGCAGCCGAGGTGTCCCAGTTAACAGAGTTTAATAATAGCTTCAGGTGTAGGATTTAGTAATTAATCACTTACATACAACACCCAGTGCTCATTACAACAAGTGCCCTTCTCAGTACGTATTCCCCCCACCCCTCCTACATCCCTCGGTTTGTTCTCTATAGTTAGGAGTCTGTTTTCTGGTTTGCCCCTTTCTCTCTCTCTCTCTCTCTCTCTCTCTCTCTCTCTCTCTCTCTCTCT